CCCCTCCCCGCTCAGGCCCGCCCGGAGTTGCAGGCGCGAGCCTGGGAGGACGAGTCTCCCCGGGCTTGCGGTCCCTGTCGCCCGTCTCTCTCCGTGGGGATCTCCGGGGGTCTGGCGCGTGGGCGTGCGTGCCTCAGAGGGGGCATCGAGACGGGGCCACCTCGGGGGCGAGCCCCGGACCCCGGGGACAGCCTGGCAGCTCGCGGAGGCCGGACCTCAGCTGCCGTTTGCAGCTCCACATCCCGGGCCCGCACCGGGCGGCGAGGAGCGCGCCAGCCCCTGCCAGCCTTCACCCGGCCAGCGCCAGGCTCGGGGCGGGGCGCAGCCCGCGTCCCTGAGACCCTCAGGGCCAAGAGGAAAGAGCCGGGCTGGAGGGCGAGCCGCACCTCCGAGCCCGACACCGGCTGCGGCGGCGAAAAGCCGAGGCCCCCGCCCGAGCCGAGGCGCCCGGGTGCCCTCCGGGCGCTGCAAGGGTCACCGATTCCCGGGGTTTGGAGCTTTCTCCTCTGGGCCCGGGGAGCCCCGAGGGTGAGCGGGGATCGAGGGCCCCGTGTCCGTGCGTCCCGCGGGAGGCGGAAGAGGGTCGGGCGGGAGGTGGTCTGGGCAGGGTCCCCACAGTGCCCGCTCCGGGCCAAAGGCCAGGGCGCACCCCGCCCGCCACCCCAACTCGCACGGCGGCGCCTCCTCCGGCGCCCTGCCCGGTCCCCCCAGGGCTTTCCCCAACCGCTGCTGCCTTGTGCAAATACAAAACAGCAAGGACAATGCAAGGGACACTCAGAGCGCTGCCGCCAGCCAGGCAGCCCCGGGGCAAACTCCCGGGACCCTCGGAAGGGCCGTCGGAGAGGTGAAAAGGTCGCACGCAGCCTTCTGGGAACCGCGCTGTGTGTACGCAGCTAACGGTCTGGCTCCCACTGGTTCCAAGGGCTGGCACACGAGGTCTAGGGACGTTGGCCAGGGGTCTCTGCTCAGAGGGTGCGGCGGAAGGACGGGGTTGGGTCAGGAGGAGGGGCGCCCTCGGGCGCTGCGCCCCGCTGTCCATCTGGGGACGCCGCGAGCCTTTGCCGCCTGCCCGGGGCGCTCCTCCCCGGCTGGGCTACGCGGCAGGCGCAGGCGGGAGGGAGCAGCGAGGGCCGGGCCGGCCCTGACGCTAGGCTGGAGGGAAGGGCGGCAGGGGGCGCGGCCGCGCCCAGCGGATCGGGAGCCGCGCGAGGCTGCTCCCTCCGCCTTCCCCAGGAAGGGCTCCGCCCGCAGCCCGGGCGCAGAAAACGCCTGTCTTGCCGCTCACATGCAGAGCGCCTTTCCCCAACCAACTAATAAGGCATGCACTGTGTACTCTGGGGGAGGGATGTTGAAGTCCTGCCTTTGATTTTAGCTCATTGTGGCTTTCTTACCCTCCTGGGTTTCCCCACACGGTACTGGGTACTGGAGCCCTCCTCGCTGATTGATAATTGCCGGCTGGTGCTGCAGCACAGTGCAAATTGTCCTTGCTAACAACCTCTTCTGCTCTTGGATTCCGCTCAGCGGTGGAAAGGGTCAGTTTTAGATTTCTGCAACTCCCCAGCGAGGGAGACAGACCGACTTTATAGGAGAACATGTGATAGGCAGAAAAAGCCATGTGGCAGTATTCCTAGGTTGATTTTATTTTGGTCCCAAGAACATGGCACTCCTTCTGATACCCCAACCCCCAGGCTAGGTAGACCCAAGTTCCACCTGAGGAAAGATTCACCCACCGCCTGCGTTCCCAGTCTGCCCTGCCGGCCTGACCTTCATGCCCAGATGGGAGGGAGGCCTAGGCCTCCTAACAATGGCCTGGACGCTAAATGTTCCTTCCCTTCCTTTCATCAAGCCCTCGTCAATTTGTCAGAAATAAGATGAGATCCATTGCTCCCCAAAGGCCGTTTGAGCCACTAACTTCCTTAGAGTACTTCAGATTAATGCAATATGGAGATTCAGGTTGGTAGTCCAAAACTGTATCAAATATAGTCTTTTTTTTTTGGAAACATCAAACCCATGTATTTCAGCACTGCAATAAAACGACATATTTTCAGTAGGAGCTAACCAACATTTGAAATGTAAGAATGGAAGGAGTGAAACTGGGAAAATATTAAAAATTGGATTTCAAGTATTCTTGAAAATACTTTTCTTAAAATGGCATTTCTTTCAAATGACTGTCATACAGAATGTGTCAGTGGGCTGCATGGTGGCTGTCTTCTTAGTTTGTATTGGCAGAGGAACAGAAAGTAAACACATAGCTTTAGTTTTTGATTCTTTGTGTTTAGCCTTTTAAAACTTACCTTGAAAATGTTCAAATACTGGAGAAGAGACTTTCACCTAACATTTTAAAACTTAGTTAAAATGCGAAGTTTTTATAAGACAGTGCACCTCCTAACAAGCAAGATAAAGGGGGAAAATGCTTAATTTGGAATCATGTTGGTAAATTCCAAATGTTTCTCGGTAGGGGTTAGGTTTTGAAGACTGTACATTACTCCTTTGAAAAAAATAACTATATTTTTCTGCCTTTAGTGAGTTACTTTTAAATTAAGAGTATTAAATTAATAATAACCAAGAGAAACACTCAGCAAAGCAATGACAAGATCATTAGAGGGAACACAGTCACATTTCTAAAAGACTATCTTCAAATAGGATGACCTTTAAATTTTCAACAGTGTTAAAATTTAATCATAGTGCTATGTAGAGAACTAAAAATTTAAGGAATTTTGAAAGAGGTCAATAAAAATGATTCTTAATATATCAAATGAAGGCCCCTAAAATGCAGTTAAGGATTGTTTAATTTATCCTTCAAGGATTTAATTGTGTTTTGTGTTTTTTTAGATGACTACTGGCTGTGGCATGGAGAATGGGATAGGAGAAGTGTAAGGGAAGAGGTGAGGGCCCGGATGTGAAGTAGCTGAAGTAGAATCTAAACAGGGTGTTGCACAAGGTCTGGCAGTGGACCCTGAAAAGATGCATGCAAAACACATTTCAAAAGTGTGATGGACAGGACAGGAGGTCAGGTGTATGGCAGTGAAGGAGTCAAGGTTTCATAACTCAGTGGGCTGTGAGAGCCTTTATGTAGGTAAAGGACACTAGGAGAAGGCTAGTTTGGAAGGAAGACCGTGAACTTTATTGAGTCTTGGGTCAGCTTCTAGTCCCTCTGAGGCAATCAAACAAGTCAAGAAGGTAGCAGAGTTATTTGGCTTGGAGATTTTAAGTTCATGAGTCACTGATCTATAGACAATAGTAATTGAGATGGAAGAGATGGGTGAAACTGTTGAGGGAATTGGAAAAGAAGACCAAGGGCAGGGAGGGCTGGGGATTTAGCTCAGTGGTGCTGCTACAAGTGCAAGGTCCTGAGTTTGATCCCTGGTACAAAAAAAAAAAAAAAAGACCAAGGGCAAGGAATTGAAGAACTTGTAAAGCTGGATTGTCAGAATGAGTCGACGCAGGGCCTGGAGGGTGAGCAGCTGCAGAGGAAGGAGGAAAACCAGCAAAGTATATTGCCATAAAAGCTAAATAGAAGGTAAGTTTCCAAAAGGAAGTTCTGGACAAGAGTTGAATATTGCATTAGTTAGCTTTCCACTACTCTGACAAAATACTTGAGGTAACCAACTCAGAAGGAGAAAAGGTTTATTTTGGGTCATCATTTCAGAAGTTTCAGTCTATAGTCACTTGGTCCCATGGCACACACCCATGACCAAACTTCCTTCCAGTAAGCCTCACATACAGAAAGTTCCACCACCTCCCAGTACAGCCACAGGTCAGAGGCAAAGCCTTTAGCAAACAGGCCTTTGAGTGACAAACAATAACAAATAACATCGACAGTCCTGGCTGAATAAAGCACTGAAATGGACTGGACTTAGTGGTGTGGTGGCTGGTGAGAGATTTTGTTGGAGTGCAGAAGAACAAGATTACAGGCCAGATTGGAATGGGCCAAGGAGCCAATGATAGACAAAGGTACAGAGTCAGGGAATAAAGGTAATTCTCTCTGTAAGTTTCCACGGAAGGGGAGGAAAGAAACAATAGCTTTAGAAAGGAGAGATGTGGAAGGAAGTTGATTTTTCATTGGCTTTTAAGATGGGCGACTATTGGACATTCTAAACGCGGATAGACAGAGCCTAGTTTGGGGAAATGTTGAGATTAAGGCACAATGTAGAAATTACCTGAGAAGACAAGAGGAGATGCAGTCTAGAGCTCAGACGGACAGATCCCCCCTGCATGAAGCAGGACAGCAGGAGCAAAAGCAGAGCTCGCGGGTGTAATTGTTGTGCATTGGTTGGGGGCAGTTTCTCTCTACGCTTCCATTTTCTCGGTGAAGTACTTCATGTGGTTAGAGTCGCGGTAGAGGAGAGGTGGGGAAGGTTTCCAGAGAGCAGTGAAAATTGAAGTGGATGACCCTGCTGATCAGAGAGGCTGCTGTTATTTTTGCTATTGTTTTGATAATTTTGTATGTTGACAATATGAGCATGGAGCGCATTTTCCAAAAAACATGTTTTCCTAGCAAAGTTATTCTGGCTGGCTACTCATGACACGCACAAAGTGAAGTAGTAATATAATAATGAAGTAGTAATATAATAATACTACCAGTATTATTTCAGCTTGAGTTACTCAATGTAGGTGTTCAGTAAATGCTTTTATGAGAAGAGGAATTCTTCTGATTATTATTTCCAACAAATTAATGAATGTGTCTCATGTTGGGCAGGCGAAGTGTCTCTCCAAATAGCTCTTTGTGACAATAATACCTTTCTTTTCTCTTCCCATCCTCTTGGTCCTTTATCCTCCCAGAGATGGCCAAGAAAATTTAAAGCTTTCACATAGAGCCTATAGGAAAAGTCCACACACTGCGAGGTGGATAATTCATGGGAATTACAACAGGTTTGGATAATTCATAGGAAATATAACTAAAGCATTTCTTCTGTTTTGTAAAGTCTAGATTCAACATCATTATTTTCCATATTTTCACAGCGACATAGAGGAATCAAATGAGCTGGGTAGATTAGCAGTGGGCATTCTTCTCAGTAAAGCTTTTTCCTTCAACTTATTATGTCAAGCTAGCAGATGGTTACAGTACCTTACCTCTTATGTAAGAGGTGATAAATTCATATTTGTTAGTTGATTTTAGCCATACAACATACTGCCTCGGTGGACTTGCTCTAACCCACAAAAGCTTATGTGACATGAGGAAGTGATGCAGAGCAGAACAGGCATTTTTGGAACTTTTGTACTTGACGAACCCTTCAGACTATTAGCACAAGAAGTTACTTTTTCTGCAGGCACATTTTTCTCCTGCTCAGATGGTATGAACAGTCCAGCGGGGATGATAAACAGCAATCTAGACAGCGAGGGAAAATATTTGGTAAAAAGGTACTCCTGGCCTTTCTCTTCTTCATTTGTGGAGGAAAAATCTTAGTTGTAGAAACTGAAAAGAATAGAAATGCAAAAGTTGAGAAGGCAAAGTTGTAATGTGACGGGTGATAAAGCAAAATATTTTGGTTTGTATTTTGAAATGCAAAGCAAACAAAACAAAACAAAGAAAAACAAGTGGACCTCAGGACTTGGTAATGATAATTTGCCTTACAGAGTTCAAAGCAGACCTGGGATTACTATCCTTTAAAATCATTATTTCACCCCCTCACACCAGGCCAACTGAGGCACACTGAGTTCAAATGTAGCAGCAGTGCAGCAACTCTGCAATGCAATGAATATGGGAAACGAATAATTTAAATTTGGGTATGTATCTCAAAGTAGGTGAAATTACAACCTTATAATACAATGAGTTCGAACAACACGATTGGTCTCTCCTTTTAAAAATTCATGGTAATTTCCATTGTTTTGTGCCTTATGAGGTCAAATAGCATCTAAATTCATATGGTGCTATTATGCTTAGTCTGGTGGCAAAGGCACATTCTTCACTTGAGTTCTTTTTCTGGATTTTAAAAACCCGTTTGTGATTTCACAGATTTAGTGGTGATGTTGAGGCATGGACCAGACATAGTTGAATAAAGTCACATTTTATGTTATCTACCAAATCAAGCTCTTCTCTCCTTGATTTTTGAGATTCTTTGGACCTTGTTTTGAGAATATCTGCACTGGCTTTCAAAAGAGTTATCCATCTTGAGTAGATTAACTCTGATATCTATGTATTTGACATGAGTCCTGATAATGTCAGAGAAACATCTCTTGTTATGTAGACATAAGACAGCAACTTTCACATTACATTTAAGAGGAAGCATCTCAAGACACATGAGAGAGTGGTAGGCAGGGTTTGTTGGTTGCATGTCAAGAAACACAACCTGGATTAAGTTAAACAAACAAGTGATTTATTGGTCATAACTGGGCAGACTTTGCTTCATGCACGGTGGGAACCAAAGGTTCAATTGATGCCAATCAGTAGGACATCATTTGGGATTCATCTAAGTTGGCTTCATTCTCAATCAGGGCCCCTCTAGGAAGTGTCAAAGGTGGTAATGGCAGCTCCACACTTAAGTGTTCCTTGGGGTTATGATCAAAGAGAAACTACTGAGGTGGCAGGGTGCTCTCTCCTAGAGTACGCAATTATCTTAATGAAATTCTGATCTACTCCTCTTGGAATACGAATGATATCCCCAGTCCTGAACCAGCTGGCCATCCAGGAGATAGGTCATCCTTATTAGCCCAATATGGTGGCAGGCACAGGACTAACTAGAGACAGAAAGCAGAGAGGCAATAGGAGAAAGAAGAGGTCTATGGATGGTACGACCGGAGGTAAGGGGAAAGCTGACAGTACACACCGTAGTCTGCTCCTTTATTATTGTTAATTATTTTCAAATGAGAATATATGAAACTTCTGGCTCTTAGTTTTTATGGGTTATGTTCATATGTGGAGTTGATTTGGTCTTGCTTTGTTTTTAGTCTATTTTTTCTTATTATCTAAATGTCCAACTGTAGAAAATAGCATGTGTCTATAGCTTTTATTTCAAAATCTAAGGCTAGTAATTCATTCTGGGTTAGTTGTCAATAAAATGATAATGCATGTGAGAGTTTATTTTTAATTCCATCTCCTTTTGGGTATATGTCCCTAATTTTTGTTACCTCCTCCTTGTCCTCTAACAAAGGCCTAGAAAGAAATTTATTATTGGAAGAATCCACTACTTAACCCATTTTAGGTGTCACTGCTAACCAAGAGGGGAAGGTTTTTAGAAATAAGGAACTTTCTAGAATGTTCTCGTTGTTCTTCTGGAATAAGGAACTTTCTGGAATGTTCTCACGACTCTGCTGGAATAAGGAACCTATGTATATCAGTGTCAGGGTACACCACTGGGCCCAGAAACCCTAAACTACCTTTGAGGGGGAAGTGAAGACCTGGAGAGCTTGCCACACACACTCAGCCTAAGAGTCATTTCTAGGACAGTAAGCGTTGCGTTAACAAAGGTAAACCTTTTGAGGGAGCGAGGCTGGCGGACTCCAGGGGAGTTCACCATGCTACAGTATAAAAGGAAAGGCTTGTGATAGTCTCTTCCACTGCAAATCTCACGTGGTCTGTTTTCTTGAGCTGTATTAAGACTCTTGGAACAAAATAATTGCTTGTCTGTATTGAGCTATATTTGGAACAGGTCCACACATGCCTGTAGTGCTAGTTCACTTATTTATTTATTTTACAAAAATATGACCTTTTTTGGAAAAACTTAAAACACATGCTTAAATGAGGATGGGCACCGTATCAGAGGTCTCACTTGTGAACGCATACAGCAGACAGCACTACCTAATTGTTCAGCACTGTGTTGGGAGTCCAGATCTGGCTCTGCCAAGACTCACTGCATTTCTAAATATCATTCTCTGTGCTGTTTTCCTCCCAGCGGGTCTTGAGGAATCTCCCTGGAGAGATGGGGCTCCTGCAGAGGTGCTCGTGGCTATGTAGAGTACGTCTTTCCTGAGGTTCTTCTTTACCTGTGGAACAGCCTGGTGCGTGAGTAACTGATGGATCTACTCTGACCCGTGTTCAGTTTATTCCTACGCAGAGGACCCCTTTCCAAGAGGGCACTGAGCAGGAGGGAAGTGAGCTTTGGGTGCGTCAGTCAGGTGAGACCTGGAAGAGGCTGCTCAGCAAACACACAGAATAATAAGCATGTTAGTGCTTGTGGGTCCCCATGAGAAGAGGGCCATGTGTACAGGAGCAGTTGGAAAGGAAGGGAGAGCTGTAAGGACACACATGGCCCACCAGCAGATGAGGAACTAGAGAAACAGGAGAGACCCATGGCCAGAGTCTTCCCTGGGACCTGGGGCATTACCAGGCAGGTTCCTGACATGGAGTTCACACTGGTGAGTCTGGAGCAGGTGGGCATGAGCCCCAGGGAGGCCTGCAGAGCACCCCATTCACGGTGTGGGGATCTATGGGCCACCAGCTGGGTTGTAACCAGCTGTCTGGAGAGAAGTTGAGGATGCTTCAGGTGGATCTCTTCTTCAACAACCACCTCAGGGAACCGAGAGGGTACAGAGCTAGCAACTGCATCAAGGACTCCTGAACCCTGCTTCTGGTATGAGAAAGTCTAACTTCTAGACAAAGTGGATGTTGAAGCAACACGACACTATGAAATTCACCACTTGCTTCATTCCTTTGGGCTCGCAGCATTTTCATCTGTAAAAGGCAGGTGTTGAATTAAGTGATCTTTCAGGACTTCCTCAGTTGCAAAGCTGAGTGATTCTACTTTTTAAAAAAATCAACAGGAGAGTGGGCTTGCCACCCTCCGCTATATCGTGGGAGGCCACGTGTGGGGCATGCACCCACACAGCTGCTGTTTGGAAGCCTTTCAGCATATTTCCTTTCTGAATAGTTTGTGCCCCTCACATAGACCGCAACATGCTGAAGCAAACGTGAAGGCCACATCCCAAGTCTCTCTGCATGCACTGTAGCTCTCGGGAAGAAATATGAGAATAAAATAATGCACTATGGGAGGAATGGCAAGGGATGGCCAACACCACAAAACAAAAGAAAACAAAGAAACCACAGGACACACACAGAGTCTCGCTGTCCAAAGTCTTCCCCTGGTTTCTCTCAAGTATGAGGCAAGTGTGCATTTCTAGTCAGTGGAGAGCAGGAGTGTGTGCTTCAAGAAGAATCTCTGGGAAGAAACTAAATTAAAAATTCAAGGGAATGATTTATTGAACAAATGTGAGTCAAAGCATGGTTGTTCCTCTTTATTCATCTTCCTGGGAAGATCCTGCCTTTCTGGGTACCTTTGCTAGGGGAAACAGGATGTGCTACAATCTGAATTTCTGCTCCTTGATTCCTAGATCTGGAAAAAGGATCAAGAATGGAGCGAGGATGGCAGTAGGTCTGGCGGAAGACAAATCATGACACATTTTGGCAGTGGACCTTCTTTAATGTTATCCCCAGCTTCAGTACCAGAGGTACTGAAGGTATTTTTTCAGAGTATTTCTCAGTCTTGAGCTTAATTGCCAACATTTTCATGAGCTTGCAGGGTCCACACAGGGAGTACCATGCTTTTGATACAGAAGGCTTCTGGGCAATTTCTGATTCTTCATAGAGATATTGGATAGAATCATACTGATTAAGCTGTGGCAACAGCAAACAGTCTCAATATTGTGAAGTCCAAGAGGTGGGTTTTGTTGCTAACATAAAAATATACCTCAGCCACATGCTGGTGCAATGCACAAGTGGGGATTGGGAGTGGAGTTTCTTCCTCTATCCAACAAAAGATATATTTGCTGTAATTTTGACCACCACAACCTTTTGTGAAAGCTGCCCTTGGAAAACAGTACAAATAAAATAAAGTTTTATAAAAGCTTTCAAACAGTCCACCTTTCTGCTCTGGGACTATAATGACTATTCTGGTTTAAAAATACCTTTTCTTATTCCTTCCCATTTCCAGCTCCCTGGGAGTATCTCTGTAAAATAAGCCTGTAGAAAATGGGTAATGAGGAAATCGTTGCCTTAATTGAAGGTCACATCTACAAAGGTCTAGGTAGGTATGCTTTGGCTGATAGAAAAATCCCCCAGAGTGACATCTTGCTGCCCTAAAATAAAGGCTCCGGGGTAATTTGTTGGCCCTTGGTTGGCATCTACTACCTTGTCTTTGTTAACCTCACAGTCAGTGAGGTTAATTTCCATTACTGATGACCCCCACATTTTAAGCAGAGAAAGGAGACCCCCCAAGGTCTTCCACAATGAAGCACAAACACGCTTACAATCTTAAGTCAAAGTGGAATGGCTTCCAGATCCTTTGGTCTTGAGTTCATGTGTTCTACACAATTGGGACCCTAAATGGGTCCCTTTCAATTCCAGCCAGGTTAGCGCTGAGCCCTTGTCTTCTTATTTTTGTTTTTCACCAGAGTGCTTTTCTTTTAGAAGAAGAATTATGAGTGATTTTGTTGTTGTTTGCTTTCTTGCTTCTTGGTTACTGCCAATGAGCAGTGTTGACATGCTTTGTAGCCTAAAGCTGAGAGGACATTCTAAATACAACAGATACTGTACTCTCATAATAATTTCCTAAGCCCTTGGAGGACTCTGGCATGAGTTAGCCTGAAATGTAAGCATTTCATAAGATTCTCATGACAGCATTGTTAGCCAGTAGTTTCACCGAAAAGACTTCTTAATTTTTTGTTTGGCCAGCAGGCTTTCTCTTTATACATTCTCAATATTTTACCTCCTCTTCTTCCCCTGGTGGAATATTTTCAATTCTGTAATTTCAGTTCCTGCTGCTTGTTTTGAGTGAGTATTATTATGCATGGTCTCTAGACTAGGAGTGAGGTATGCTGTGGGTATCTAATTCAAAATTAGGTGGTTACAATTCTTCATGGTTCTTTTCAGAAACAATATCACAAAGGACCACAGGACAGCCCACCAGGACATTTTAAATTGACAGAAAGCCCAACATTCGTTATTGGCAGCTCTGAACTGTGAGCCTCCTTATGCCCTAACACTGGTTATTTCTAACAGGAGAGCAGAAGGCAAGTCAACAGGCTACGGATAGGAGTAGGCTAGAGAAATCCATGCTTTGGCAACTGAGATGCATTCATGAGACTGCAAGGATGAATATTCCTAGACAGTGGTGCTCCAGGTGACAGCTAGGTTAAGGCCATGACAATGTGCTTAGATCCTGGCAGAAGGGGCCCTAGGAACTGAGCACATTGATTTGAATCAGGTCATAGGAAGTGAATGTTTTTGGTGGGGCCAGGACAGCTTTGGGGTTTGGAGAAGGGCAGCTGGTAAGCTGCAGTGGCTTCTAATTTGTACATGGCTTATTTGGACATTAGAGTCTGTCTTATTCGATAAGGGTAAAATATAAATTTAAAATCAACCACACTTCATATTATAGGATCATTTGATGTTTTCAAAGACTTGATAGAGTCTCATCATTTTTCTAGTGAAACAAGGGCATAGATTTCTCTTTTCGTCAAATCATGTTTTTGCCATTGGGTGAAAATGGTTATGTATAATGTACTATTTTTAAATTGTCAAGAGTAGACTTTGAGGGTTATTATCATTATTCTACACTTTTCTTTTCATGACTCAAAGATACTTTTTGTACTTTGACTTAGCCATAAAAAGAGAACAATAATACATCCAAGTGTAGAAGTCAATTGCTAAGTGACCCCCACAGTTTTTGCTTCAAAACTATTATACTGTGCTATTTATAATACCAAATTGCCATTGTTTGGAGGCAACATAATTATTTCAAAGTGTTTCCAGCAATCTAGTTGATATTTGAGAACCATTACCCCAATCCTCCTGTTATTTTTCAGATGTGTTCTTCTTAACTAACAATTGTTTGGTAAAATCTTTATGATTGCTCCGTTCTTCTTGTCTTGGAATGTCATAGTCTAGAAATATTTAGACAGCTTGCTGTTATGTCTGTTACATCCTCGAGGCCACCAGAAAGGGCAGCTTCTTTTCCCAACACCAACTATGTATCCAGGGTAGAGTTTAGAAGGCCCCAGTGACATGATCAATAAGCCATTTTGAGAATTGCTCAGAGCTTCCTTTTATCTTTTTTTTTTTTTTTTTTAAACACAACCTTTAAAATCAGAAATCCTGGCACAGCACTCCCCAGCTGTGCCACAGAGGGACATAAGGGTGTTAGTGCTTTTCCTGTCTATTTTTGTCCCTACCAAATCAGAGCCCTGGAAGGGAGCTTTAGGAGCCATCAATCTGTTCAGATGCCTTCATGCTCAACATCACAAGGAGAGATAATCGGCCCGTTCTGAAAGGCTCACCGGGGGAAAGTATTTCAAAACCAACCAGCAAATACTTGTGCTTACTATGTACATGGAACTGTATGGAAAGGACATGGAAAATGATAAGACATCATCCATATCCTCAAGAATCTTACATTTCATTTGGAGAGAAAAGATACACATAGGGACCCCAAGCCACCAGCAGAGAATTTGGGGTAGCTCTTGAAGGTCTCACTGCATTCCTGTCATCCTCACCAGTGGAGCCTGCTATCATTGTCACCGGGAAATTCAAATTGCTAAGAAATTCATTGCAGCTCCATATGCTAAGGCCTCTAAAGTCAACCTAATTCTTAGGTCTGTAGCGGTTCAATGACTATTGTAGAAATAGCCTGGATACAAATTTTGACTTTACCAATTATTAGCAGTGCAGCCATGGCCAAGCTACATGCATGTTTTCGCCTTTCAATTTCATACGTGAGATATGGGACAAAAATAAAACCTCTCTTGTAGGGTTGGGAGAGTCCCATGCTGAGTTTTCAGTGTACCGCCTGATGGAGGGCACGTGAGCATCATATTAAGTGGTAGTTGTCTGACACTCATTTACATACTGGACTACACTGCTCATGTCCCATTTCCCCTGTGTCTTCCACTTGCCTTTGTCCAGGTGAGAGGTCACCCTTTATGTGACTAAATAAAGGAACCATTCCTCTGTTGGTCACAGAGTAGGATTTCATAACTGATTCAGTCCTCCTTGTTGGTTTTTAACGCAACTCTTACTCCAAATATGGCACGGATTGAAATACTGTGGCTTAATTATTGTCCTAAATACACCAAGTTTGCCAGAGTGCTTCCGCCAAAATGGTGAGCACAACACAGCCCCGTCCCTCCCAGATCCTCATGTGCAGTGTGAGAGGCGGACTTGCACAAACCTTCTTTACTCCCTCTTCAAGTGTGCGAAGAAGGGCCAGCTATGCATCACCAGGTGTTGGAGTGCATCTCACAGCTGACAGAGAAGCAGCAGAAAGGGAAACTGATTCCTAAGGAAAAGGAGATGATTCAGGGAGTCAAAGAGGTCTGTAAAACCTGAGAGATGGTGACTGCAGTGCTCAGAGGCCTCACAGTGAGGCAGTGTGCTCAGCGGGAAGTGAGGACAGGAGACTGGAGAGATCACTGGAGTCAGAGAAGGGGACCATAGGTCTGTTTTATTGACAGTGTTTTTCAAAAGTTTAAGTCGGTTCTGGACTTCAGCTTTAAGTTTTATGGAATGCTGGATCTGGTTCATGGCTGTCACCATCATCCCATTCCCCTGTGTGTTCTTTCCAAATCCACAGCCAGCGCTGAAGTCCTGGTGTCAGCACATTAATTTCTTTGGAACATAGCTCATTGCATTCTTTACTGAAATGTTGTGTGCATGCGTGCACGCCTGTGTGTGTGTTTGCTCACATGTGCAAAGGATCATGGTTTGGTTTGGTTTGGTTTGGTTTGTTCTAGAGACTCCTATCCCTTCAGCTGCACATGTAGTATAGCACATAGGATCATAGGATCTTGGAGTTTGATAACTATAAAAATTATCTCAACTCACTCATTGGAAAACTGAGGTCCAGACATGTTTCCAAGGATGTTTAGGAGTCCATGGTCCTCTAACTCGATGAATATCAAATAATAACTATAGGAAGTCAGAGTGCATTTGTGGTAAAGGGCCTTAAGCTGAGCCTTCAAGGATGTATAGAAGTCAACATAGCAGAGCTTCTGTTGCTTCTCTTTTAGGGTAGAGAGAATTATGTCATGTACCAACGAACACAGCGAATAGACAAAAGAAATATTCCTATAAGAGAATATGGGATTGTAGTTTGCATAAGAAGGGTCATTGATGCCAATGAAAAGCATTTTCTAGTTTATCCTATAAACAATGAGGAGTGACATAGGGTTCTTTGAGTAGGAAAGTGGCATATTTGGTGAAGTTTCGGGAGAATGAACCTTGTGTCATTAAATGGCATACTGTCTTATAAAAAGAGGAGCCACAGGGAGACTAAACACTACCTCTGAATTCTTAGGAATCAGGGGAACAAATATGCTCTTCAGGAATTGTTTTTTATTTGCAATCAGTACATAATAAGACAGTGAAAAAAAATTCCGAAAGGCATTTTGCCTTGTTTTTTAAGTGGCTATAAAAGGAAGATGGTGGGTTTTATTTTTTCTCCTAAATATGTTTTGACCTTCTTTCTGCTTAAGCACAGCTGGTCTTTCCTGGCTTTCTCTAGTGACTTCCCAGACGTTCTTTCCCCAGTTCTCTTCCATCTGTATTACCGCTACCACTCCTTTCCTTTTTCATACTGCATCCCACACTGTGCTCCCTGTAACCCAGTCTCTGCCCTCTTTCCTTCCCACTCTAAGATTTCTTGGTGGAACCTGGGCGCATCCTGGGCGTCCATGCTCCACTGCACTGTGTGAGTTCTGAAGCTATCCTGATCTGTCAACTCAACTTCAGACCCATATCTTCGTCAGGATAGACCAATCAGATCAAATCCAGGGGCTCTCAAATAATTGCAGCTCAGTCCTTGGTCTGTGCCTTACCTTTTCATCTCAAACTCTGCATCTTGGACAGCATTTCCGGCAA